GGCGGCAACAACAAAAACAGCACCAGAGTTGTGGATTGGCTCAGCGAAATTCAAATTCTCAGAGACACCACTCTCACCAGACGAATTGAAGGCACAAGCGACAGCAGACAGGATCATACCAGCACCAGGCCGGCATGCCACTGAGCCAGCCGATCCCGCTGCTCCACCAGCACCGCATGCATCAACAGATGTGCGCCGCACGAACCGCCAGCAACTCTACCAATTGCACTTCAACGAATCCACAAGCGACTAGCAAAACCAGAAGAGCTACGCAAACTTCACCTTAAACGTCACACCACGTGTCAGGAGAACAGTCCAAGTTCAGGACCCGCGCGCTCCGTTTGCCAAAGGAGATCTATGATCTGTGCGACAAGATCCGCACTGAGCGCGAATCCTGTCAGAAGGCACCTTCCCGCTGCAGGACTAGCGGTTTAAGAGCTGAACAATTTGGCGAGTTGACACTCGTTGACCGCTGTCATGTTCCCTTATAAAATGATGAACACATCAATGTGCTAGCGATCCTTGATGGAGCCACGACCCTTCTAACTACTGAAGTAGAGTCCAACATTCCACTGTTGCGCAATTACTTTGACAAATACCACTTACAACCCAAATGTGTTGTTGGAGACCAAGCATTCGTGGCTCCAAGCTGGGAGTTATTCGACAACAGTCTTGACATAAGACCAATTTCCTTAGGTCCCAACAAACCTTGGGCAAACCGAGCAGAGACAGCTGTCCGTCTCATCAAGAGACAGACAAGTCTCACTGATGCTGAATTCCATCAAGACAGGCATAGCACCAGCATCCTTAAAGGCAGCAACATATAGACAGCTTGTCAAGGCAGCAGCAACAGCAAGGAACCGATCAGTCACATATGGTGGCGTGACTCCGCTTGAGCTAGCATTCGGCAGAAGACCAGCAGAGCCTGTTCAACTTGATATAGCTACACCGCCGATTTCTAAAACACAAGAAGAACTGACAGCAGGTCAGATCAGACACTTAGCGCAACAATCATATCAAGAAGCCAGACAATCAGAAGATGTCCGAAGAGATCTTGCTCAACACCTACGACTAAGTTCCAAGCCCATTGCGATCGGTGACAAGATTTTCTGCTGGAGTGAGGACAAGTCCAAGAAGATCAAACCTGATGCGAGTAAGGGATCCGGAGGTATGTGGTTGAAGGGAAAGGTTATTTCCACAGGTGGAACCATGGTGGAGTCGACCTAGGAACCCGCCTGCTGAAGGTCAACATCACCAAGACCCGGAAGGACGAAACTTTGTCTCCTTCCAAACCAGGACTTGATGCACCTAATTTCTATTTGCAAGAACAATGCTGGGAGACTCTCGCCAAGAATATGAAGGCTGAAGCCATGGAACTCAAGAGCTACCTACCGAGCCATGACTTCAAGATTTCCCCACGAGAAGCAGAAGATCCTGGAGATGGAACCTTCATCCCCAAGACCGCATTACAAAGATCCAACTGGCAAGCATTAAGGCCATGGAAAACAAATTCAAACCAGAAGAACTATATTCCCAAGAGCAGAAGCGACACATGCCAACCTGAATGTGGTTTTCCGATCCGATTGCCAAAGGAACCACAGAGCTTTCAGGTCATGATCCAGCCGGCAGGAAGAAGGTCATGAGATCCACCAGGAATAACAATATCACAGATTCGGAACGACCTCCTATTTATCCTGATAAGAAGGCAGGAGCGCTTTCTGACTCAGTGATCCTTGGCATGGTTCGCAACAACTCTGCTCACATCCTATGTTTTCAAGAAGCAGACGGCATCCTGAACCAGCTTGTTCGTGAGACAATTCAAAATGCAGGATACACAGGAATTGTCATCTCGCAAGGTGCCGCAAAGGGAATCGGGTGTTTTGTGAAAGGCGATCACCCCGCCCGGTCGAACTTCTGAACCGACTGGCTATCAACAAATCCAAAAGGCGGGCGATGACCGGCGCAAACTTCCGTGTGTATCATGGATTGCTATCCGATTCAGATGATTCCTGAGTTTTTTTTCAACGTAAGCGACCCGGTGCATCCACGACATACACTCGCCACAGAGATCCACCAGTCCTCCAAGAGGCAAACATGGACTGCAAACATTCTCGTAAGAATCCTGCACTTGGAGATGGACAAAGACAGCTACGAGGAACTGCCTACCGTTCCTGACGACAAACACGCAGACTTTCTGAGGTCCATTGCGCACCGAGCCGGACTTCCATTCCATACTGTAGGTGTATACCACTACGAGACGAGCTCCACCAAATCCTAGCACCTATCGCAATCTGATGAAATTCCTTTATCGAGGAGCCCTACTCCTTACCGACATTATCACCGGCGACGCAACTTCCGCAGCGAATCAGTGCCATAAGAAGCAGTTGGTCATGAATCCCATGTGTTCGATTCTTTCCGCAGCAACTGAAGAGTTCAGAAGAGCCGTGAACAGCCTGCAGACAGATCAGACCAACATGATCACGATCACCTCAAAAACCAGTGCATCTCTCAGATCCTTGATCGAAGCAGCCCTGAACTTCAAGACCGAGAGAAGGTTCGAGACAGATCCATTCTATGGCGTGTTGGACTGCATTATCACTCACGTATTCCATTGGTCCAAGGCCAAGGAGATGACACATACAAGCGAAGAAGAATTTTCTGAGAGATCAATCCGTTGACACTGACAATCAAGCTGATGATCCACAGGACATCGAGCATCACGACTATAGTGTCACATCCGCTGAGAGGTACAAGTTGATGACCAACGGGATCCTTCTGTGGGGGAGAATGTCAGCTGGCCACCGAATATTTCCCAAGCTCAGATTGATCGTCGAGATCGATATTCGAAGAACCGCTGGGATGTTCGAGACCAAGGCTACTATTGGGTCACTTATGACCATATTCCGCAGTGCAGATGTGATTCTTTCCAGATGTGATTTTGGAATTGCTCTGAGATCCAATGGATATTCATTTTCAGAATAATGACTTTCGCTCCGGACATTGGCCTGCTGGCCCCCCGGAAATTCTCACCATCCTAGGTCTCACAGTGTCTCTTTTGTTTCAATCGTCGATCGTGTGTGTGGCACAGATTCAGCCGGGAATAGAAATCGCCGGAAAGCGTTTACAAGTCGTTCATATGGCTACGGTACAGTAATATTCAGGCCTGTCGAACCAAAGGCCAGTTTTACACCAATTCACTGTGCCATGAGTGGAGCGAAATTTGTGTCTGTATTGTTTCTTGTTTTGCTTCCTGCTGAACCAAGAATCCACTCATAGGCAACATGTGCTATGTGTAGATCCTCCGCTGCCATTTGGTTCGCAACCATATTGCACAGGCCTGGTGACTTGACACTACCTTGCGGTCAAACAAGAGTGCTTGCAGCATCTACAATAACATATCTCTTTTACCAACTGCGTGGCCTATTCATTTGACTTCACCGGAATAGGTTCAGGGACAACCAAGAGGTATTCTTTATTGGGGCCACGATTGAGGCCCCGGTAGTCCAACCTCGGGGGGGGGGGGTAATAGCGTGCGCCGCCCGAGGAGCTTGTCTGTGCCGTGCTGCGCTCCGCTGAGAAGCTTCTCCAACCAGATCTCGCATTTCTGAACCAAAAACCTAAACCAAAAACAACCCAAAACCACCATTCCAATGGTTCAACCCAGTTTGAACTGGCGCAACTGGAAACCTCCTGTTTCCAACCAAACCTCGTATTTCTGAACCAAAAACCTAAACCAAAAACAACCCAAAACCAAACAACCTTTCTGAACTAAAACTGAACTGTGTTTCCTCAATCGCCAAATCGTTCCACGATTTCTCACGCGCACGATGGCGCAGGCTCGCCCAAGAGACCAAGCCTGTCAAAGCGTGGAGGCGGTGGATTTCTTTCTGGGTTTGGTTGTCCATCTATAGAGCCACGTCCGTGGAAGCCATGTGGTTGTTATTTTGTCAGGCACCCGCCGGTTTCCCTGCTAGTTTCCCACCTCAAAACCAACTCAAAAAGGTCCGTAAGAATGGGAGAGAAACACAGTGCGCCGCACAGATTCAACAAGAGACGGGCACAAGCGACCCCAATCCGACGGGCACAAGCGAACCCAATCTGACGGGCACAGGCGAGCCCCCGACCAAAAAAGAAGTCTGGCAAACAAATCCGGGCAAACGATAGAAATGGGTTCCGGAACCACCAACTTCAAGATAACTTCTCTACCAAAACATTCGCACAAACGGGGACGCCCGTAGGACGCCCTGATCCTCTTTAATGCGACTGTTTTGGGTCCTCTTTAGTGTCCATTTTGGGGGGTTGTTGAAATTCTGAGTTTAAAGCCTTAGCCTTTCACATGACAAGGGTGGGTCACCTAACCGAGCTCTCCCAAGCTCAACGGGCAACGGCCTTGGATCAAGGCAATTCATTTTGCCAGTGGTCCGCAAACTACCAAATTTAAGATAACTTCTTTGCAAAAAAAGTAAGGGCAAACATTCGGACAAAGGGGCAACAAGAGGCCCTGATCCAACTATTTCGGGGGGTTGCTAAAGTCAGTACCGGGAATCTGCAAGGGGGCCTTGGCAACACTAGGAAGTGAAATTTCACGCTCTGAGTTATCTTGTCCTCACGACACCAAAACCCTTCTTAGCTCATACGGCCTAAGTAACTCACGAATCGGAGCCCCCTGAAACTCCTTGTCCACGCAGGTCGTCGTCCTCCTTTTCGCCAAAGCAAGAAGCGTTTTTCAGTGGTGTCCGGACGAGCAAGTGATTCCGGCCTGTCCAGCGGCCTGGTGGCGCCGCGGTTCTCGCGGAAGCATCGTGCGGTTCTGCCGCAGATAGTCCATCCAGTCCGCGGCCAAAGGCCGATTCATGGCACCAAGGCTCCGCCTACCACTGCGGGTGGGATCTCCAAGGGCGCAGTCGAAACAGCTCAAGGCCTGCGGCTTCAACCCAAATGAGCTCTATGAGATCTAGGTGGTTTCATCAGCATGAAGACGAACTCAAACAGATCGCTGCCTGAAGCTCTTCCAGCCAAGAGAAGCGGCGCCCATGCACGTAGCGGCCCAAGTCCATGGGGGACTCCCGGCCTCCAGTTTTCTGGCGCTTTCGCAGCTCAGCCAGTCTGTTTTGGCATGGCTTCACAGCCGGATATTCTTCCTTCAGCCGCCTGTCAAGAAAGAGTGGGGCTTTGAACTTGCAAACTGCGGCCCCGAAGGGCAACTACAGCTGACTCTTCTTGGCTTGGGGAAAACCGTCGCACGCGTGTGACAACTGCAAATGAAGCGAACTCATAACAAAGCGCACCACCATGAAAGCCTGGAAACGAGTTACATCAGGGCCTAGGGATTGTAAAGGTCTGATGCTGAAAGGAATGCGAGTTGAACGCATCGCTGCTTCCCAACAACTGCGCTTGCTGGCCTTCCTCCACTTCGAAATGCAAGGCGGTTGCCGGATGTCAATCGCGCGTCACCCTTGAAGCGCACTGAGCGTCCGCGCTGCGGTTGTGGCGGTCCTGGGCAGTTGCGTGAGGCGCTGCTTTGCTAGAGGGGGGGACAAGCTGGGCCTGTCCAATCGCCAACTCAAGGCAGTGGCCATGTGGATTTGCATACGCCAGTGCGCGCACGTGTCACATGCGTGACAAGACATGTGGATTGTGTGTGGCGCACACCTGGATGGCCTTTGGGAAGGCGGCCCCCAGCAGCACCGCAACGGCAAATGGCGCGTGACCCCAGGCGGCCTCGTGCAGCGGCAGCCTGCCTGGACATGGCCCATCTTTCAAAACAAACACGAAAGCGAAAACGATGTTCAATTCAACAAAATTTGAACCTAAAGCGATTTTGCATCTGCTTCGTTGGCCGAACACACAGCTTAGCGATTGCGGAACCTTTTGTCTCAATAGGCGCACCTAAAAAACAGCAACGCTGCCCCAACTTTATTGCGTTGAGCGTTGAAAGGGAGGAACTTCCGGAAAGACAGCTTGAATTAAAACCAAAACCCAGCATCAAACAAGCATGCCCAGGGTCGGAATGTCTCCTACTAGCCTTCAGTCGGACTCTGGCGCACGACAGAACGATAGTCAAGGTCTCTTCCCTGCTTGACAGTCAAGCCTCATCTGAGCAATGTTTCGAGAGATCTGGAAATCAGCTCGCGCTTGTGCGCCGCACGGCGCGGCAGAGTTGAAATCAAATTAATCGCAGGCATGGCCAGGCGGGATGCCCCGACTTGTAAAATTAGAGCTCCTTCAAATCGGACGCAGAGAAAGGGCGGAGCGCTGCAACCTTCTGGTCGGTGTTAGCTGCTGCACATAAACATATACCTAAGTTGCTTCCCAAACCCGCTTTGTTCTCAAGTCGGTTGTGTTTTCCGAAAGAAACATCTGTGGCAACTGGGAGTATCTGCCTTTGCTGGAGCCAAGTATGAGTGTTCTCTGCCGGTGGGTACTGACATAAAACACATACGAACCTTAGCAACAACGGGCCAGACTCGTGCAAAAAACTGGTTTCCTCACGATCCGCGCGCCAGGGCTGTCACGCTTACCTCAATCATTCTACTGCAGCACTTGCTGTTGCTGTTTCGGTTGCTGCTGTTGTTGCTGCCGCTGCGGTTGCTAGTGTCGTTGCTGTTGCTGTTCCCAGTGTTGCTGTTGTTTCTGTTTTGTTGCTGTTGCTAGCGTTGTTGTCGCCTGTGTTGCGGGCACTAGTGTTGTTATCGTTGGTGTCGCGGTTGTTAACGTAGCTGTCGCTAGCGTTGCTGTCGCTCGTTGCTGCTGTTCTGATTATCAGTTGTTGTTTGGTGACACTATTACACTTCTTCCTCGGATCGGTCGTCTTCTTCTTATCATTATTACTTGTATTTGTTTTCTTCTGTTTCTTCTTGCCCTTGTGGTTGTTCTTTTGGCGCTATTGTTGCTGTTGGTGTTGGTGTCGGTGTTGTTGCTGTTGTGGTGTGGTTGTACTTTTTGTTCCTGTTGATGCTGTTGCTGTTGCCGTTCTTGCTCTCGTTGTTCTTGTTCTTGCTCTTGGCATTGTTCTTGTTGCTGTCGTTGTTGCGGTTGTTGTCTGTGTGTGTGGTTGCGGTTGTGGTTATGGTTGTGGCTGTGGTTGCGGTTGTTGTGGTTGTCGCTGTTGTTGCTGGCGCAGCTGTTGCTGCTGTGTTGCTGTTGTTGTTGCTGCTGTTGCTGGTGTTGCTGTTGTCGCGGTTGTTGCTGCTGCAGTTGTTTCGCTTGGTTGTGGTTGTGGTTGTGGTTGTGGTTCTGGCGGTTCTGGTGGTTGTGATGGTTGTTGCGGTTGTTGTGGTTGTCGTGGTTGTTGTAGTTGTTGCGGTTGTGGTTGTTGTTGTGCTTGCGGTTGTGGTTGTGGTTGCGGCGCTTGTTGTTGTTGTTGTTCTTGTTGTTGGCTGGTGTTGGTTTTGGTGTTGCTGTTGGTGTTGGTGTCGGTGTTGTCGGTGTGGTGGTGGTGGTGGTTGTGTTGTTGCGTTGTTGGTGTTGATGATGTCGATGATGATGTTGGCTTTCTTGTTGTTGTTGCTGCTGCTATTGCTGAAGACATCAGCAGCTCATCAGCAGCAGCAGCAGCAGCTGCTGCTGCTGATGGTGCTGTTACTGTTGCTGTTGCTGTTGTTGTTGTTGCTGCTGTTGTGGCTGTTCTTGCTCTCGTTGTTCTTGTTCTTGCTCTTGGCATTGTTCTTGTTGCTGTTGTTGTTGCGGTTGTTGTCTGTGTGTGTGGTTGTGGTTGTGGTTGTGGTAGTGGTTGTGGTTGTGGCTGTGGTTGCGGTTGTTGTGGTTGTTGCTGTTGTTGCTGGTGCTGCTGTTGTTGCTGTGTTGCTGTTGCTGTTGTTGTTGCTGTTGTTGCTGGTGTTGCTGTTGTCGCGGTTGTTGTTGTTGTTGTTGTTGTTGTTACCGCTGTTGTTTTTTGTTGTTGTGGTTGTGGTTGTGGTTGTGGTTCTGGTGGTTGTGGTGGTTGTGGTGGTTGTGGTGGTTGTTGTGGTTGTTGTGGTTGTTGTGGCGGTTGTGGTTGTGGTCGTTGTTGTTCTTGTTCTTGTTGCGGCTGTTGGCTGTTGGTTTTGGTGCTGGTGTTGGTGTCGGTGTTGTCGATGTGCTGGTGGTGGTGCTTGTGTTGTTGCGTTGTTGTTGTTGTTGTTGTTGTTGTTGTTGTTGTTGATGTCGATGATAATGTTGGCTTTCTTGTTGTTGTTAATGTTGTTGTTGCTGCTACTGCTGAAGACATCAGCGGCTCATCAGCAGCAGCAGCAGCTGCTGGTGGTGCTGTTGCTGTTGCTGTTGCTGTTGTTGTTGCTGCTGCTGTTGTGACTGCTGTTACTGCTAAATTGTTGCTGCTGCTGTCGCCGTTGCTGTTGTTGCTTTTGCTGTTGCTGTTGCTGTCCTTTCTTTGTTACCGGTGTTGTTGCTTTTGCTTTTGTTGCTGTCGTTGTGGTTGTTGTTGCTGTTGATGCTGATGTTGTTGGTGGTGTTGTTGTCGTTGTCGCTGTCGCAGTCGTTGTCGCTGCCGCTGTTGATGCTGTTACTGTTGCAATTGCAGTTGCTGTTGGTGGTGTTGGTATTGTTGTTGTTGCTGCTGCTGCTGTTGCTGTTGTTGTTCTTGTTGCTGTTGCTGTGTTGCTGTTGTTGCTGCTGTTGTTGATTGTTGGTGGCGGTGGTGTTGTGGTTGTTGTTGTTGTTGCTGTTGATGGTCCTGTTTTTGTTCTAGTTGTTGCTGCTGCTGTTCTTGTTCGTGCTGGTGTTGTTATATTTGTTGTTTTTGTTTTGCTGTTGCTGCTGCTACTGCGGTTTCTGATGTTGTTGTTGTTGTTGTTGTTGTTGTTGTTGCTGTTGTTTTTTTCTGTTGCTGTTGCTGTTGATTTTGTCGTTGTTGTGGTTGGTGGTGCTGTTGATGCTGTTGCTGTTGTTGCTGTTGTTGTTGCGTTTCTCACTCTTGGTTATCAGGATTGGCATGGTTTCAATTGGGTGTGCATGAGTTTATATCCATGCATTTACGTGGTTCTAGAATTTGCGCGGCTTGTAACGAGCAGCACGTCTTATTTCCAACCCAAATGGTAACTTTCTTGGTGATCTATTCGTCCCTTCATTGCCTTCTGCCGCAAGAAAAGGGCGCGACGCTGAACAAACAAGATTCCCATCAAGCGCCTATGTTCCGAGAACCTTCGCCAACATTGACAGGTTTGTCTGTTTTGTTAAGCGATCCTTCGGGCAAGAATGTTCTTCAGAAGGGCAAGCGGGAGGTTGGCTGAAACATCACACTTCACGTTTTGTTTGACCAAGTTGGGCTTTGCCCGATGTTCATAAGCGGCCTGCAGTCAAAAGTCACGCCTGGGCCGGGGTTGCTGGGGGTGGGGGTGGCAGGGGGGGGCGGGGATATCTTGCACCCGTCGGAAGCCTTGGTGAGTCTCTCCCCATGAAACACGCCTGTTTGAGGATCCCTGCGCTTCACCCAAGAAGGCCGAATTCGGAGAAGCCGCCAAAGCAGCTGCAAGGCTCCGGGCTGAGCTATCCCGGACGGCTGCCCGCCTCGTCTTCATGGCTAAGTACACAAATATCACAAATACGCAGGTGTCCCTTCAAACCCAACTGAAACTGGTTTCATCTAGTTTCCAGTTTTGGCAACAGAGAGGATTCAAACAGGATCTGGTCGTCTGAAAATTTACAAGTGTGGGCTCCTACAGACTGCTGGAATCCATTGTCAGGTGCCATTAACAGCAAGTATCACCTGATTGCTGGCTTTGCAAAAAGGTCTAGCCTTTCTGAAGAAATTTCTGCTGGCCGTCGACCCACAACAAATCAACATGTAGCTTGCACAGACAGCAGTTGCCAATACAGTGCGGAGTATCATGTCAGTGTTTGGTGGGCGAGCCCAAGCATGGAACACTTCGGAATCCCCGGCCGGATGGGTGCCTGGGCTTCGTATCCGGCACCCTTGAAAACGTTTTCTTTTCAGGTCAGTTTGCTTTTCCATGGACGGCCCTGGTTTCAGCTTGGTTCAAATCATTTCTCAGTACCATCT